GCGGCTTCAAGATGGCCGCCGGAAGCCCCAAAATGGCCGTACGCAGCATTTTCGCACCCTTGTTAAACGAGGGAAGGGCGCAAAAATGGCTGCTGGCCATTGGAGAAGCATCGCTGTACGGTGAGTAAAGCTGCTATTGGAACGCATTAAACACTGTTTAATGCATTCCAATGGCTTTTTCCTTCCCGTACAGGAACGGATTAACCTAGTTGTGCGAGGCACCACTGTAGTTGTACAAGGGATAGCCATGTTAGTCAGTGGCAGCCAACCAACAAGGGTTAGCCATGTTAGTCAGTGGCAGCCAACCAAGCCGATGAGGAAGCAGGATGGGAATTCTCCCTGCACATCCCATGAGTGATTGGCTGCCTGAGGAGGCGGGGTCGAACTGGCAGAGTTCCTGCTCAGATTGGAGCATGTCCAGAGAAGAAAGACCACAGCAGTGCATGAAACAGGGTGAGTGGCCTAGCTGGAGTGGGTGGAAGATGGGCCAGTATGGCACCGTAGCTTTGTATGAAGCACAATGAAGTGCTTCGTGCCCATTTCTAACTATAGGTAAAAGGAAATGAATGAATGAATTTATTTATTAAGGTCAGGTGAGCAGCTAATAAAACATATTTATGGCTAGAATATACAAAATGCAGTTTTAAAATGTACAACCAGTTCATAAAACATTATTTAGTTAAAATATACAAAATACAATTTAAAAAGTATACAATAGATAACTGTACTGGTTGTAAAATATGGGGAGAATCAAATACAGGAATTTTATTGCTATCCTTTGAACCATTAGGCAGCGGTCTCCAACCTTTTTGGGACCATGGACCGTCTGAGCCTATGAGGAAGGCAGGGCACACACACCCGGGCTCTCTCGGGTGCATGCGCACGCTCTCTTGGGCGCATGGGCAAAGCAGTGGGGAGCGCACACGTGTGCACCAGCATGAGTGCTCCCCCGCCCCTTCGCGCATGCGCAGAAGTGCCGGCACACCCACCCGCACACCCTCCCACCCCTTCGCGCGGGTGCTTGAGTGCATGCATTAAAGGGTGGGGGCGCACTGGCATGCGTGCGTGTATGCAAAGCAGCTGTGGGGAGGGGAGTGCTTGGGGGGCGGGAGGTCTGTCTCCGCAGCCCGGTCTGGCTCAGACCACGGACTGGCACCAGGCAGCAGACCGGGGGTTGATGACCTTTGGTCTAGGGCAAACTAGTAAACTAGGTAAAAGCAGAAAATAGATCCTAAAGCTGAGGCTCCAATACTCTGGCCATCTCATGGGAAGAGAAGACTCCCTGGAAAAGACCCTCATGATAGGAAAGTGTGAAGGCAAGAGGAGAAGGAGACGACACAGGATGAGATGGTTGGACAGTGTCATGGAAGCTACCAACATAAATTTGGCCCAACTCCAGGAGGCAGTGGAAGACAGGAGGGCCTGGCTCTGGTCCATGGGGTCACAAAGAGTCGTACACGACTTAAACAACAATAATTTTTGCCATGTTAAATCTCCTCTTAACTCTGTTGAAGTGGACTTGTCCATGAAAGCTCACATTAAAAAATATAAATGTTAAGTCTCTAAGGTGTCATTGCATTCTTGTCCTTTTAAATTTTTAAAATTTCTATTGTGCTTTTCCTGGGGGGGGGGAAGGCTCTTACCTTCGAATTGGTTCATAACACGCTGCAGGAAGCAGTTAATATCAGAAAATTCCTGAATGTGTTTTTTTATTTCAGGAGGAAAAGCCGCAGGCACTTGGGGCAGCCCCGCCTCGCATCTGCAAAGAACACCATGAATCACAACTCAGTTTTACCAACGATGTGATTTATCGTGTGGAAAACAAAGACATTGTTGGCCCTCAGCACGTGGTTCCTCTATTCCGACAGTCTAATGTTACTGGAATGGCACTGAAAGCTGTGTTGGAAATGCAGTTTTCATCTTGATGCTAGCAAAGAAATATTTCAGATCTAAAGATCTGCAAATAGACCTCACAGTGAGGTGAACAAGGAAGGTGTCTAGATATAAAAGTATAGAATAGAATTAAAAACAACATTGGAATCTTCTGTTCAGCCTTAAGCTGGCTGGTTAGCCCCGTGAAAGAGGTCTCTGACTGCCGAGCCAGAGGTCAGGAGTCTGATTGCTCCTTGTGCCTCCTGTAAGTGACCTGGGTGACCATGGGCAAGGTGCATAGTCTCAGGGCACCTTCAGAAGAAGGGAAGATATAAAAGTATAGAATAGAATTAAAAACAACATTGGAATCTTCTGTTCAGCCTTAAGCTGGCTGGTTAGCCCCGTGAAAGAGGTCTCTGACTGCCGAGCCAGAGGTCAGGAGTCTGATTGCTCCTTGTGCCTCCTGTAAGTGACCTGGGTGACCATGGGCAAGGTGCATAGTCTCAGGGCACCTTCAGAAGAAGGGAAGCGAAGCGCATGGCCTTGGAGTGTCTTCCGAGAAGAAATGTGTAACTAGATACGTATCATACACAGATTGTTTGGACCAGCAGGAACCAATTCTGTTTATGCTTTGGGTCCCTTTAAAGGAGAAAGGCAGGATAAAAACATCGTAAACCACTTCTGAATATTCTTTACCTGGAAAACCCTGAAAAGGGAGGCCAGAAGTGAAAAGTGACTTGACTGCACATGTTGATGATGACTCATCCTTAAAGCATATCAAGACATAACAACATGAGTAACTTGTCTTTCAGCAGAAGTCAAATGGGGTTGGAGCAGTGGTGAAACCAGCAGAAAAATCTCCCTTTCTATTTACAGTGGTGCCTCACTTGATGAAGTTAATTCGTTCCAGCAAAATCGCTGTAAAGCAAAATCGTTGTCAAACGAAATAAAAAAAACCCATTGAAACGCATTGAAAACCGTACAATGCGTTCCAATGGGCTGAATACCTGCTCGTCCAGCGAAGATCCTCCATACGGTGGCCATTTTTTGGTGCCTGTAATGCGAGGAATCCGTCCCTAACACAGTGGGAGAGCCATTTTCTACAGCCGGTGGCCATTTTGAAACCCGACGATCAGCTGTTTGCTGATCGTCGCAAAGCGAAAAATCGGTTCCCTAAGCAGGGAACTGATCAACGTTAAGTGAAATTCCCCCATCTAAACATCGTTTTGCGATTGTAAAAACTTCAACATTAAGCAGATTCATCGTAGAGCAGGGCAATCGTCTAGCGGGGCACGGCTGTATCTTAAAATCTGAGAAAGTGTGTTTGTATAATTGGGCAAGCGCATCTTGAGCTCTTGTGAAGCCTTAATCGGTGGCCTTGGAGTGTCTCCTGGGAAGAAACATGTAACTAGCTACGTATCACACACAGATTGTTTGGACCTGTGGAGATCTTGGGAGTGCTGTTCCAGCAGGGACCAATTCTGTTTATGCTTTGGGTCCTTTGTAAGGAGAAAGGCAGGATAAAAATATTTTAAACAAATCAAGATATAAATGCCCCCCTCTCTCAGAGATATGAAGGTAGGTTTCCAAGATTGAGAGACCGAGCCCACCCCAAGCATACTGGGCAAGGAAGAGCGGGCAGCAGTGTAAGAGGCGGCAGCATGTAGGCTGGTACTCTGAAGAGAAGCACCCTTAGCTGCCTGTCACCGTTATGACCATCTTTAACATTCCAAAATGTGCCTTGACTCTGTAGCAGGATTCAGAAGCATTGTGGGGAAATTAAGGTGACAGTAGCTGCTAATTTCTCATCCAGTCTTTTCTCAGAGAACTGCAGTTCCAGACAAGTCGGGCAGACAGTTAAAAAGGAAGAACATAAGATTAGCCACGTTGGGACTCGCAGCCTGTTGTGACGTTCTTTGGAGAACTCTTATGCTCAGAATTAAGGCTTTCTGAGTTCAGATGGGTTTTGTTTCCATGCAAAGGGGCACAACACGGCTGCTCAAATGTGTCTGTTGTAGATTGTGTTTTCTAGCATATTGATAACCCACGTTTTGTCCAATGAGCTCATGGTGGACTTTCCCACTCATATGTTATCTTCACAACAATCTTGTGAAGTGGGTCAGGCCAAGGAAGTTATCAAGACCGAGGTCACTCAAGATGCCTCATGACACAGCCCAGAATCTCAATTTCCCAAGGCCCAGTCCCACCCTGAGACCACTGTATCACCCTCAAACATACTCTTGAATGACATGGGAAGGGAAAGCAAAACAGTGATTAATGGTTGAAGCTAGACCCACTTACTTCTGAATGATGCTCCCGATGTCCTACAGAAGAGAGGGAAAAAAGAAATGGGGTTGAATCCCACATAGCCATCAACACACACTTATCAGCACTGCAATAGGTTAGTGGGATTGTACAGAGTCACTCAAAATGGCTGCTGTCTAATCCAATGGCTAAACCCTAACTTGATATACAGGGTGTTCATCTTGGTCAGTGCCTACATATTGAATTAGAATAGATTAAAATAGACTCTGAGGGGGAAAAATTGCAACACATAACAGAGAAACTAGTTCAGTAGCCAAGCAGAGCACAGTGAGGGGAGGCCAAAATCCTGTCAAGTAGGTTCCAGTTGTGCAATGGGAAGGACAGCATAATTGACAACCAACTGCTGCTGATTAAGAAGTTCTTTTTTGTTATGGAGTGGATGCAATTTCTTTCCTCTTGTGTGAGAGCCCAACATGTGTATCCCAACATTGGGAAAAATGTTATCTTAGAGTGATCTTCTTTCATAGTGAGGTAGTTTTCTCCCCCTTTTCTCCTCTTCTCCCGATCCAAGCTAAAGGGGCATGGTGGGAGAGAAGCTCGCTTCAACCGTGACAGTAAGATTTCTTTAAAAAGGTAAAGTCCATTTTGCTGACTCTTTATGTCTATTTCTTCTCTGTGTGGTTATTTGGATCCATGGAGATTTTCCTTACATGGACAAATATTTTAACTTCCTCGGAATCTCTGATTGAGATGTTTCCAACATCCTTTTGCGTTTTCTCAGTCTCTCCTTGGAGCGTTCCCAGCTCTTTGCCAAGATGGCTTCCCCCTCAGTCCGCAGATGTGTCATGGGGGTGGGATGGGTGGAAACCAGCCTTCGCCAATTCCATTCCCCCCCTTTTGTCACATCTGCTGCTTCAGAGGCGGCTTCTCTAATGGCCTCCTTCCCTCACCCCCATTTTGGGTGGCGGATGGAATCGAGGGAACCCAGTCAGTTTCAGGAGTTTGCCTGAAACGTGACTGGTTTTCACCACAACGCAGCCCCGCCTCCCCCCATCATTTCTTAGTTCAATGGCTTCCCAAAATGGCTGACAAACTAAGGTTAGGGGTTCTGGAGGAAACGGGCTCACTCGCTTCCTTTTTATGGGGGAATAACCAAAATGGCCGACTACCTAAACAGATATTCAGGGACATGGAAGGGAAACGGGTTCACCTGGAGAAATTCAGTCACTGGCTGCTGGCACTTGTCCTCCATCTCCTGGATGCGGCTATGGAGAGAGTCACCTTGCTTAGTCAACCTGGCATTGTGCTGATCCCTCTGCTTCAAAATTGCTTTGTCCAGCTCTTGCAGCCTTGCCAACAAGTTACACCTTTTCTTCTCCATCACTTTATGTAGTTTTGTAAACTGGGCCAGCAGCTGTTGCCTTTCAGCATTGACCTGCTTCTGCAGCAAAGAGATAGGAAAAGGAAAAAGGGATGAATGACATCAACAGAGGAATGAACGATGTTGGGAGACAGTGAATATGTCACAGTTGGTCAAAAATGCAGCCTGCAGGCCACAACCCCCCCCCTTCCAAGCACTGCAGCCGTTCCATGGATATTAAGCAGAAGGAAACAGCTGGGGGGGTGGCATGAGGTTGCTTCTTATTGATTACATACTTTGTACAGAAATGGTTGTTGTGGGTTTTTCGGGCTCTTTGGCCGTGTTCTGAAGGTTGTTCTTCCTAACGTTTCACCAGTCTCTGTGGCCGGCATCTTCAGAGGACAGTCTCAGGGTGTCACACTTGTGTTTACGGGGAGGGAAGGGTTAGCTTCCACAAGAGTTATCCATTCTGAGTTACACAGATATTCTGTGCACAGACCCCTTGAAATAAACTGCTGTTAAGTTACTTTTTCTAACACTACACATGGCTTGTGTGTGAGATTGGCTGATTTTTTCAAGAAAGATGCATCCCACACTAAGCAAAGAGACAGGAAGAACCTCTTGGCTGGGTCATTGTGAGTTCAAGGTGGAAGAGGGGACATAAAAGCTACAAAAGTCAAGCAAGTTTTATTTAGCATGACAACAAACTTGAGCTGTGTTTTAATATGCCTTTCGCTTTGTTCTATGAGAATGGTAAACCACTTAAAAATATAATCTTAGAACTGCAGAGCTGGAAGGGACCCTTTCGAGTCCAGTCCCTGTCAGGGAGGCACAGTGGGGAATCGAACCCCCAACCTCTGGCTCCCAAGCCAGGTACCTAAACCACTGAGGTATATAGCAATGTATTCTCTATATAGAAACCCCTGGAAGGAATTGCCATAAGTTAGGAATGACTTGATGGCATGCACTCATTATTATTAGTTACTATGTTCATCATGTTAATTTAAAAAAAATAGTTCTCTTTTTAGGGACACTGAAACTTACAAGTAACTCTTGACTTTCTTCTTCTGTTTCTGCTTTGCGTGCTAGAATGTTTGCTCTCTCCTTCTTCAGAAGCTCCAGGCGACTACAGATCAGATCCTAAAAGGGGAAAAAATGTCAATTTTTTAATTCAGAGGTGAAGCAAAAATGAAGAATGTGTTTACTCCTGATTCATGCAGGGGAGGGCTTCCTTTTGCCATGGATAGCCCACATGCAACTGGCTTGCAGGTTGCATGTGGTCCCTGAGTTCTTTCTGTGAGACCCTCCAACCTGTTTGTTTAGGGGTGGGCAAGGCAGCCTCCTGCCTCCCTGCCAGCATCCTAAACCTGGCATTTCTTTTAATGTATTGTGGTTAGGCATCCTTCAGTCTCGAAAGACTGTGGTGACGTGCTCTGTATGGAGGACTTGGAACAGCATCTAGTGTGGCTGAAGAGGACAATTCGAGAGTGACAATCTCTTAATGTATTATAGGTAAAAAAAACCCACTACTGTCAACAGTCCAGAGGCATTATTAACATACTTCCAATCTCTTCCCCCAGATATTTCTGCACACACTATTGCTACCTTGTAGTCCTGGCCAGCTTCTTCCAGAGGAAGCACCTGGTGCTCTCGGTGCTCCTTCGACCATTTACACACCATACAGATGGGGGCTTCATCAGCCTTGCAGAAGAGCTTCAGGGGCTCCTGGTGTTTGTCACAGGCTCCCCCCTTTCTCTCAGTGATCGTTTCCTCTTGAAGACGGAGCTTCTTGCTTAAATCCACAAAGTTTCCCAGCTGCCGATTGGGGAAGAGGCTCCTTCGGACTTTTTCTCTGCATTGAGGGCAGGAAACCTTTCTGCCCCCCAAGCCCTCCCAGCTTTGGGTCAGGCAGGCTCGGCAGAAGTTGTGCCCACATTCAATGGTGACCGGATCCTTGAAATAGTCCAGGCAGATCGAGCAAGTGGCTTCCTCGCACAGATCCTGAATGCTAGCAGACGCCATCTCTTGTCCCACCTGTAAGTTAATTGCTCAGTTTCGCTTTCCCCGCTTCCAGAAAGTGGGTGTTTCCCTTCCCGTGAATCTCTCAGCAGGGAATCTTTGGCATGTGAAAAAGACAGAAGTAGGTGGAGCAACAAGCACAAAAAATGTGTTTGTAAACGGAAAGAAAGGGAATGAATTAAAGGAATGAAATGTGGCGCTGGAGGAGAGTTTGATAGAGACCCTGGACTGCCAGAAAATGAACATGGTGGGTGTTGAAACTCAGGCTGTTCTACTCTTGGCACATTCTGAGAAGGCAAAAACCTCTGGAAAAGACAATAAAGCAGGGAAAGGTGGAAGGCAGAAGGAAAAGAGGAAGAACAAACAGGAGATGGGGAAATTCCCTAAAGGAACCACAGGATTGGGTCTGCGGGAGCTGAGCAGGACTGTTGAGGACAGGACATTTGGGAAATCGCTCCCTCAGAGGGTTGCCATTAAGTCATGGCTGACAACACAGAACAGCATAAATGATCTGAGGCTAACTCAGTACTGTAGTTTATCTAGTTGTGGAGCCAGAGACTGGCAGTTGGATTCCCCACTGTGCCTCCTGCAAAGTAGAGCCAGCCCATGTGGCCTTGCACAAGCTGCCCAATTCCAGGATGGCCCCCAGAAGAAGGGAGTGGCAACCCATTTATCCTGTTTTCCCAAAAATAAGACCTTACCTGAAAATAAGCCCTGGTATGATTTTTCCAATCAATGCTGAGGAGACCGAAATTGACCAGTTTTATGAAGACTTACAACACCTTCTAGAACTGACACCAAAGAAAGATGTTCTTCTCATTCTAGGGGATTGGAATGCTAAAGTAGGGAGTCAAGAGATAAAAGGAACAACGGGTAAGTTTGGCCTTGGAGTTCAAAATGAAGCAGGACAAAGTCTAATAGAGTTCTGTCAAAAGAACAAGCTGTTCATCACAAACACTGTTTTCAAACAACACAAGAGGTGACTCTACACATGGACGGGCATGCTGGAGCGCGTGCGCAGGCGCAAACAGGCTGTGCGAGGGTGAGTGCGTGCGGTGGGCCCCCACGGACCGGGGGTTGGGGACCTCTGCTTTAGGGAGTAAATCCATCACATATTTTGTCTTTTTCTTTTCCTGCTACATTAAACCTTTCCAAGCTTCATGGTCTGCCTCAAAGAATCCTGTCTTCTCATGTTGTGCTCAAAAGAAGACAATCTTAGTTGCAACATTTTTGCTTCCAGAGAGGCAAGGCTAATAGGAGTTACTCAACCTGAGGGTCTCTGAGAAACAGAATCCAGACCAAAGGCTTAAACGAAAAACTTTATTGAAGGAAACAACGCAACGGATTCATGAGAATGCCAACCGAGAAAGAGAAAACTGCGAAAACTTACTATTAAAAGATTTACCTGTTGAGAAATCGTTAGCCTGGTTTGGGGACGATTCTCCACCCGATTTGACATTACAGAAACCAGTTGAAGTTGAAGAACGAGTTAATACAAGTTATGTTTAAAAAATGCTTTCATAATCCTGAAACTTCTTTCGTCTTTCCTGAAGTAGAACATCATAAGAACAGTGCAGAACCCCCCCACAGCAAACGACGAAACTGATAGAAAATCAATGTCTGGATTCACAGTGTTATTTGCAAATGTGTTGGTAGGGTGGAAATCTAGAAAACAAAGTTCCATTGCTACTTCAACAGCTGAGGCTGAGTTTGCTGCTTTGTCAGAGTTGTGCTCAGAAATAATATGGTATAGACAAATGATCAAAGATCTAAGGGTTGAAGCATGTAATGCAATAAAAGTGTTTGAGGGTAACACTACTTACATCCACAATGATGAGAAACAGAACTAAACATGTAGACATCAAATATCATAATGTCAGAGAAGCAATAAAAGATAAACTGATAGAGTTACAGTACTGTGAAACAGAAACATTGCTGATATTATGAAACTCTTAAATGCACAAGACATAAAGAGATAACCAAGGAAATGGGAATGGGTTCTGCTTAGGCATAAATTAGGAGGGGTGTCAGAGTATAAAATTTACAGGCCTGAACAGAACAAATGTATTAATGAGCAGCCATGATGTTCAGGTGTGTCAAAATGCTGAGTCACAGTGACTGGCTCAAAGATGATGCAACATCTGTGCTGATTGGATACAGCCAGATGCATAAGTGTATACTGTATATGTGGACTGTATAGAGAAGATGTATTCCTGCTCTTCTGATGAATTCATGGTGTCATGCTGTCGCTCTGTATATTTGTAAATATCCTGTAAATACACATCTGGTGCTTGAAGAAGCTCATCATGTCTGAGTGAGCCATTTTTTCTACCAGGACCTTAAAGTTATTCTGCTAAATGTCCGCGTGTTCACGCACTAACAATGGTGAGGGGGCCTTTTCCATCCACATGAAAGAAGGGGAGGAGGGTCTCCCCAGAGGAGGCTCCAGAGAAGGTGTAGAGATGGGATCCCGTGTCGGCATCATAAAAAGCCACCCGAAGCCCTTCATAGTTCAGGGACACCCAGATCCTCCTCAACTTCTCTCTCAAAGGAAGACAAGCCGCCTAGAGTGGTCTGGTAGTCCTGATAGGTGGGGTATAAATCAAATAAATAAGTAAGTAAGTAAGTAAGTAAGTAAGTAAGTAAGTAAGTAAGTAAGTAAGTAAGTAAGTAAGTAAGTAAGTAAGTAAGTATCCCTAATTATTACCAGCAGAAAGGTCAGAGATCCTGTAGCCACCTCCCCAGCTCCTGAAAGCCCAGATCCCTTCTTCAATTTTACACTCAAGAGGGGCTTTCCTCTGTACAGACTTCCTGGCCACCCCCACAGACCAATCGTCCTCACTTCCTACAGTGACTTCCCAGAAATGTCTGCCTGTGGTGAATCCCTCATGTCCCAACACAAAAAGTTTACTGTTGAATCTCTCAGAATTGTCGGGTAAATAAATTTCCCCATCCTTTTTTTGTGTGTGTGTCCAGCCTGTTGTGGGTGAGCCACTATTTGGGGAGGTGAGAGAGTGGCCCTGCCTGTGAGTCGTGGGCTGGTTGGGGGGCGGGGCAAACTTGAGCACTTGCTCACACGCATGCGCAAAGAGGCAGTGCTCACTCACAGAAGGGCATATTCATGTGCATGCATGAAGGGGAGGGGAGCGCTCATGGGTGGGCGGAGCATGCTAAAGCACATGCGCAAAGGGGCAGAGAACGTTCACGTGCATGCGTGAAGGGGTAGTGTGCTCATGGAGGGGCACGCTAGTGCGGGGCACCTGTGCATACGTGTGGCAGGTCATGCGTGCAGGTGATGTGGGTGGGAGGGAGTGCATCCAGGGGAGCAGGCGATCTGCCCCATGGCCGGGTCCTGCCACAGGGATGCCAGCTTTAGGTCTTTAGATGTGAAAACTAGAACTTTGAATTGTGCTCAGAAAGAGATTGGCAGACAGTAGAACCGTTGTAATGCGGGGTTGTGTGACCCCTGTAGCCAGGCCCATGTAGCACTCTGGCCGCCATGTTTTGGACCCACTGAAATTTCCAAACACTTTCCAGAGGCAGCTCCATATCCAGATGGGAAACGTGAAGGTTTACTCGAGAGGTCCTCTCGCCACTCAATCACACAGCCTTTCTCTGCCTGGACAGGTCATGTCCAGGAAGGTCAGCACGCTGGTGATTGGGAAAGGCCTCCCATGGCCCGCTCTCCCACAGCACACTCCGAGCGACTTACTTTTTTGGTGATTCAGGGAAAACATATATATGCAGGTTGTGGCTCCGCATTGCAGACCAACCCTGCCTAAAACTCAAAAGGATCCAAAAAAAAAAAAACTCTTAACCTGTCTGAGCATCCAAGATGGCTGGTTTAATGCCTCACATACATTTTTATAGCTTTATTTAAAAACCAGAAGTAGCAAAGGATAACAGCTTGACAAAAGATTAACTGACTCCAGCAGCTTTATACAAAAAAGCATAATCAGGTAGCATAAATGGAATTACAGAGCTAAAGGCCTGGTAGGGCTTTCTCACAAGAAAACAATGAAATGCTCATCAATGGCTGCGTATACTTACCCACATGTGCCAAGTTCTCCCAAGCATAGAATGCAAAGCATAGTGTGGACAGCTGAAACAATCTTTCTAAGATGCTGATGATTTATAATTAATTACCTTCCACCTTATATCCCCTCATCTCCTCATCAAGGGTCTTGAGAGCTCCTCAAATCCCCCGGTGTCTTTTAATTGGCCCTCGACGTACCAGCCAAGTTCTCTTCATGAGCTGCTCTGACGACTCACCTTCCAAGTGCAAGGAATTCTCAACTAGACTCCTTCCCCTCAACCCTGTACCAAGGTCATGATTGTCGCATTATCTCAAGAAGCTCTGCCTTTCTTACACCATTCTCAAAATGTTTCAGCATGGTGGCTTCAGCATACATGCTTTACAGATTTCAAAGACTTGATGTTAAACCCATAAGCACTGATCCCTTCACAGGATGCAAAAAAGGCATGTGTCACTGGGTCCAATTAATATTCTTTATCCTTGATCCTTTGGATACAGAAGTATAATCCATTCTTGAGAGTGATTTCTGTACTGGCGAGCAGTAGGAAAACTTTCTTTCATTACCTTTTAATTCTCTCCACACATCCTTCAGATCTGTTTTATGAATTAAGCTATTGGAACATTTCTCTTTCTGACTTCTTTATCTGCTTTTGATCTATCTATACTGATTAAGCTATTCAATATTATGTCCATTGCCAAAGTAAAAGTCCACTGCCACTATAACATAACCTTTCCTAATTTTATGTAATCTAAGTTCCATGTCGCTACCCTTAATAGTTTAATACTGGATTTCCTAGTTCCCATTTGCATGTGCACAATAAAGAAAGGAAAGTGACAAGATCTGCCCCCTCCACCACACTGAAATTCCGTCCCCCCCGCTTCCTTCCACAATCTTTTGGATGGACAGACATTGAACCGCGGTGGGTTGGTGGGGTGGGCGAAACAGGTTGAGAAGGAATGTTCTGCCTTTTCTGCTGACCAAGAGCACCTCTGTCTTGTCTGGATTAAGTTTCAGTTTATTCGCCCGCATCCAGTCCATGAGGAACACCAGACACTGATCTACAACCTACATTTCTCACCTGGAGAGACTACAATCTTTGAGGTACCACTACTTTTTTGATCGTTTTGTTTTCTTTTGTTGCTTTTGTAGAAGCCTTAACTGGGCCTCTGAATCTTTGCAGTTTATCTGTTTTGCTCTGTATTGACGTGTTCCAGTATGTCCAATCACTGGAAAAGGAACCCAAGCAAGGCTTCTTTGTCAATATCCTGAAGTGACATAAGAAGAGAGTCACAATTCTGGCAAATTATACACTCAGCTCCCTGGTCTAGGTATATGTTCTAGGTATATATCTTAGGTATAGGCATCTATACCAACTTGCAATATACCTAACTTAGTGTTGTTTTTAAAGGGACGTGGCGCTGCTGCGGGTTAAACCGCAGAAGCCTCTCTGCTGCAAGGTCGGAAGACCAGCAGTCGTAAGATCGATTCCATGCGACGGAGTGAGCTTCCGTTGCTTGTCCCAGCTCCTGCCTACCTAGCAGTTAGAAAGCATGTAAAAATGCGAGTACTATAGATAAACAGGTGCCACCTCTGTGGGAAGGAACGGCGTTCCATGTCTAGTCATGCTGGCCACGTGACCACGGAAACTGTCTATGGACAAATGCTGGCTCTATGGCTTGAAAACGGGGATGAGCATCGTGCCCTAGAGTCGGACACAACTGGACTAAATGTCAAGGGGAACCTTTACCTAAGGAACATTCACTGGCCTAGTACGTATGTTCCCCTTCCCTTTCATAGATGTAGGGAGGCATGAGAAACGTACCTTTCTTTAGTCCGGATCCAGATAACACAGTATCTGTGAAAGCAAAAAAGATGTACAAATCAAGCAGCAGAACCTCTTATACACAGACGTATCCTCCCACAAACATATCTGGTCTGTATTTATTTCCATTAATATTTAGAAATTTTATTGGGTTCCCGTTCTTCTGAATGAGGCCAGAGGCTTCATAGCATCTGCAGATAAAGTTGAGGAAAGAGGACAACTATGCTCCGTCCTCCTGCTGATTAAAAGAACAGATGAGTCCCTCACATTAGTTTTGAGGACCATTTGATGACCCATGTCTAGCCAATTTAGTAGCTTGAGAAGTTTCTCCTAGTGCCATTGTTTCACCCACCTTGAAAATAAAACACCACTCAATTTTGTCAGAGGCACTGTAGCTTCGTCAAAGCATTGGGGTTTGAATTGTTATGTAAGAAATGATGTACAAGATCACGCTGTGGAAATTCTCCCAATCAGGTTCGCCATCTACGCACCCCCCTAAAAAGCCAAAGTGTTCGTCTCCAATGAATATATTAGTTAAGAGCCAGCAGGATGATGGGCCCACAGGAATCTGGGTAATCCAGATCTTGTCATTTTTATGAATGCAGAACAACTCCTCCCATACGGTGAAAGCCAGGGATGGATCCCCTTTAAGGAGTTGAATAGGAGGAAGACTAATAGTCAAACCAGTCTTTTGATTGGCCTAAGTAACAATCAAGTCTCAAAATGTTGTCTATTTTCCTATAAGTGAGACAATTCATATGGTGATCTTAAAAATGCTATGAGGAAGAGATCAAATACTCTTCCAATTGAAAGAAAAGCTGATGAGAATACATTGTGTGGCATTTGTTGATTCCAGAAAAGGGACCCCATTGGTTCTTAATTCATTCAGAAGGGTGATGTCAGTCTCCAAGGTGTTGAAAACAGAAGACGCCAGGAACCTTTTGAAGGAGTTTCTTAAACTGGGCAGATGAGCACTTGGTTTGAAGGAGGGAAACTGATCACGTGCAGGAGGAAGATTTCCGCCCCTTCCCCCCATGACCACACTGTGTCAGCTTCCTTTCTCATGGAGAACAACATACGCCTCCCACTCTACCTCACAGTCTCCCAGAATAAAAAGCAAAGCAAAAAGCAAAGCGTGCTGCTTATATACCGCCCCATAGCACTTCAAGCACTCTCTGGGCGGGTTACAATTTAATTACGCAGGCTACACATTGCCCCCCCCCCCAGCGAGCTGGGGCCTCATTTTACCGACCTCGGAAGGATAGAAGGCTGAGTCAATCTTGAGCCGGCTACCTGAGATTTGAACCCCAGGTCGTGGGCACAGTTTTAGCTGCAGTACAGCGGTTTAACCCCTGCGCCATGAGGTCTGGTCCTTTCAGGAGGAAAGGAAAGAGGAGCTGGGCTATCTGGGAAGAGCTTTCTCTGTTGTGACTGCCATCCGTCATGCAACAAAACAAAAACCGCACTCTTCTCTTGTTCCCTCTTGGACCAGGGTCTGTCTTTGCAGGCGCTCTGCTTTACCTCTGAACTGCTTTGTCTTCTCAGCTAGAAACCGATTCCTATTTTGGATAAAACCGATCTCCAAGCACAGGTCATGAAGGAAAGCCACAGGATTCTGAAAGGGCTCCTTGTTCTTAGGACTGTTGGTAGAGGGGAGAAAATGTTACTTCAAATCTACCTAACCCTACCCAGAATTTCCTGGAAAACAAAGGGGACTGAGTGGAAAGCTGCAGAAAACCTAAAAGAAATAGAGACAAACAGTGGTCCATGGACTGCATGTGGACCCCAGAGGCATTTTGCAGTCTCTCAGATTTGAAAATACAAAAAAATTATTTGTTTTTCTTCCTTCCTCCTCCAAAAAGTGGTCAAGGTTTGTAGCTTTAACTCTGAGGGATTTGTGGTGGACCCTAGACCTTCCATCCCTCTCCTTTCCCCCAAGGAATGAAGTCACTGCAAACCAGCAGCATCTTGGCACTTTCTCTTTCCATTTTTTAAATGGCTTCTGAAAAGGTAGAGGTGGTAGCAGTTGGTTCAAGGATTTAGTTCTTTATTTCTTTACTTATTTATTATTGGATTTTTATCCCGCCCTTCTAGACAAGTCTACTCAGATTTGCCGGGCAAGGTGGAGCACTGGACATCTCTGCTGAATCCACTGTATTTTAAAGAGGAGAGAGATCCCGGCGGATGGCCTCCACTTTAGATTTTAAAAATGCTGCAAATTGGTCAGGTGAGATACTAGTGGGAGGCCCATCACCATCCTAGATCAATTCCGGATAGATCGCAAACATTACGGAAAAGTTCCGCCTGCTGATTTGAAGCTTCACTTACCCGCTCAGCGAAGTGTGATCGTATAGCAGCTTTTACCTTGGCAAGGTAATGGTTAGTCGCAATCCTGACAGCTTTCTTATTATAATCTGTCGGTCCCTTTGTCTCCCCGGATCAAACCCTTAGAGGCCAAGAGACCTCATTCTGCCTCACAACCAAAGGCAGGAATAATAGGAATCCCAGGAAACTGAGTTTCCATAGCTATCACTGTGAAATCAAGATGATATCAAGAGAGGATGGCTTCCAGCAATTAAAACTTCCTCCTTCCATCCCACAGCTTTTCCAACCCACTTTGGGAGCTGCAGGAGAGGAGAAAGGTGTCTTTAATTACTATGAATAGCTGTTGCCGAATGGTGTTATCAGCAGGAAGTGCCTTTTTTGTAACTATAGACAGAGAGGAGATATGACCTACAGCTCCTGCTCCCAAACATTTTTACACTACCTAGAAAAGTTTAGGGCTTCATCATCGACTCCAAACTTTCTGTGTTTCCATGAAGCTTTTGTTTGTAATATTCTTGCTGTATTCTTATTATTTTCTTTGTCCAGTACCATGCAGAAAGAGCTTATGAAATATGTTACTGTTTTTCCTGTGTTCTATTCAGCCGCTTCCAACTTACGGCAACCCTTAGAATTAGTGACCCTCAGATGCTCAAAAACAAACATGTACTGAGATATTCACAAATTCCCTAAATAAGTGTAATTTTAAAAAACAGTTACAGTGGTGCCTCGCATAGCGATCGCTCCGTTGAGCGATAAATTTGCATAGCGAGGGGGTCCTGGCCATCGCTGGAGCATTCGCTCAGCGATGGCCCCTATGGCGTTTTTTTGCTGTGCGACGATCGCTAAGTGATTCGCTTAGCGATTTTCGCACAACGAAGCGGGGGAGAACAGCTGATCGGCGGTTCCAAAATGGCCACCACAACTTTTCCCGCCGCTCTCTCGCTTACCGAGGGCCCAAAAATGGCCGCGCCTGTGGGGGAATTCGCATAACGGTAAGTTTAGGGCCCATTTAATGCGTTCCAATGGGTTTTTGCTTTCCGTTGAGCGATGTTTCCCATAGCAAGGGTTAATCCGGAACGGATTAACCTAGCTATGCGAGGCACCACTGTATAGCAGAAGGAGTTGGAAAAACAAAGAAGGCAAGAAGGAGCCATGGATGGACGAAGGAGGTGCTCCTGAGCATACCCTTTGTTGTTACGTCTCCCAACAGTTGAGAGCCAACATCATCTCTCCAGGAGAGTTCGGGACCATTTTCCTTCCATAAAGGCCCCTCCCAGGATTATCAAGGCCTGATGAAAAAAGAGAAGCTCCACTCACCTTTTCAAGAGGTTTCTGACATCCTGGAGGGGAAAAAAGAGAAAGAAGAGAGAGATCAGTGCTTCTACCTTGTCAGCCTGTGGGGAGGCACCCACAGACCCTCCTTATTTTCCACTCAAAGCCCACCCCATTCCAGAGGAGATATCCATAATCTCCTACAAGAAGGGTTTGAAAAACCTTTGCCTGCCTCTGAACTGCCACAAGGGAGTAAGAGGTAGTTGAAGGATCAGGGTTAAGGTGGCAGATATTTTATCTCCTCTCTTATAGGGCAAAATATTCTTGGAAGGTAGCAGAACCATTTAAATGGGGTGTGTCTGTGTCTCCTTGTGTGTATCTTTGTGTGTTTGTCATCCATGTGAAGCGTTCCAGCTCTGAAGCAATGGATGAGAGCAGCTCTGGTGACCAGTTTCCCAGCGATGTGAACCTGCTCTTTTTGGGAGGCTCGGAAGAAGAGGCAGGAATGATGCATGGCTTGGAATCAAAGCATTGACAGAGTAATGAAAATTGCAGGTGTTCCCATCAATATTTAGTCATCTTTGTGTGTTTGTCATCCATGTGAAGCGTTCCAGCTCTGAAGCAATGGATGAGAGCAGCTCTGGTGACCAGTTTCCCAGCGATGTGAACCTGCTCTTTTTGGGAGGCTCGGAAGAAGAGGCAGGAATGATGCATGGCTTGGAATCAAAGCATTGACAGAGTAATGAAAATTGCAGGTGTTCCCATCAATATTTAGTCCACACGCAAGTAAAAACACTGACCTGATTGTCTCGATTCTTCTGTATGGACTGATTGATGTACTGATTCTCTCTACATGTAGGTGGGGCCACAAAAGTTTTGCAAAGCCAGCTTTCCCCTGAAGAGCAGCCTGGCTTCCTTCTGCCAGTCTTACCTGCAGGAGTTCCTCTGGGGGCTGCTGACGCTTCTGCTCCATCTCCCGGATGAGACCTCCAAGAGAGGAGAGCTCCTCGGAGAGCCTGGCCAGGTACTTGTCCCTTTCCCTTGCAATCTCCTTCTCCCCCTCTTCCAGATGGGCCAACTGAAGCTTCTCTTGTTCATTCAAAAAGGAGTGAAGTTCTCTGAACAGTTCCTTTCTCTTTTCCATCTCAGCCTTTCTCTCTTTCTGCAGTAGGAGAGTCAGAAAGGAGGGGGAGGGAATTAGGCAGATGGCAGGGCCTGTGAAGGGTGGTCTCTCAAGGTCAGAGTCCAAAGGTGATAACAGGGTTGGGACTTGTGCCCCTCCCATGTCCTTCTCCTGCTCCTCCCTGAACCTCTCCATACATATTCAGCGTATAAATCATAGCACGTGGCCCCAGGAATCAATCATAGCCCTTTTGTTCCTGGACCTCCAGCCCCCATTACAAAAGTTACATTTTTATATATGGAAATATTCCATTGTACTGGTTCTTTGTTTCAGCATTGGGAGTGGTGCTGTGATTCTGCCATGTTTTGAGGGCTTAGAACTTGCATCCTCAATCTTCTACAAAAATGTTTTCCCACTATGATGCAAGTGAGCTGTAATAGCTGAAAAGATTTAGGAAATATATTTCATGTTTGGTTGCAGGAATGGATGCAGCCCTCAAAGTCCAGAGCAGCAATGTATTGTTTGGAATTTGCCCATCCCCTCATCTAAAAGGATCCACTTTTCAAATGTCCTTCCATTAATTCTTTACTAATGATCTATCCCCCTTCTTCGATGCACACCATAACATGGAGAGGCTCTGAGAGAAGTCGAAAGCAATGCCCTCCAGCTGGACCCCATGACAAGTGTGGACTCTTAGCAGATGAAAGACTTAAGCTATGGCCCCAAGATTACGATAGATTCATACCTGGAGTAACAAATGCATTAGCAGAAGAGAATGGAGAATTTATTTTCTTCTGGGTACCTTTTTACAAAAACTTTAGATGGAGGTGGACTATCCTTTCATGGAGTTCTTTATACAAGAGGATGGATGGCCATCAACCAGGGATGCTTTAGCGATTGATGCCTTGATTTTGGTGGGGGTTGAATGCAGTGACCAACACTACAAGGATAATTACCAGTAGAGGTCGGTGAAGGCAACAATCTGTTTATCGCAAATATCTGCTTCAAACAACTGAACAGATGCCAATATAGGTTAATCAAACAGACAATGTAATTTGAAGCAGGTCTGCCAAAAGAATTCCAAGAGTAAATTCCAAGAGTGCAGCACTGATTGCGTACTCTTAATTTCAGATACCAGTATTTTTTAAAATTTCTGACACATTTCTAAAGCCCACAAAAAGAACACGTTTGCATTAATAAAGTCGGGTGACCATGAACCAGAAGAACTATGGATTGAGACGTTATTAGGGAAGGATTCTTCTGCCACCGGGTGTGATGTAGTTACTGGCTGGTGTCAAACACGTGACTGGAAAGATATTTCAAAAGGTGACAAGCCTGGGTTGGGTTGAGGTCACAATGTGCCAGGAAGGAGGATTGGCTCATGGCTCTGGATTCTGATCATGTTATATTTGCATTTTCCACATCCTGATTTAAAACACTGATGTGGGGAAAATGTATGCTTTTACAATGTATGTATCTGTGGTAGTAGCAGACATTGTGCTAAGCGCGCAAATCACGTACACAGCGTACTAGCTTCCAGTAAAGGATGATTCATTAACCTGCTTTTGTATCTAGGATAATTACCTGTCTCTGGGTAAATTGTATTAACTTACTTGTGTATTTAAGGTGTTATCTGTCTCTGTTTACCCTGCTCGTGTATTCAGGAATGTTTACCCTGCTTGTGTATTTAGGGTTTACCTGCCTCTGTTTACCGGCCCCTCTGTTTACCCTATTTGTGTATTCAGGATATTACCTGCCTGTGTTTAGAATGGTACTTGATTAACTTGTGCAAAGGTAGGAGAAAACAATACAAGGGGGGCGCGGCGAAGGATCGGGAGGAATTCCCACTGAACAGCTTTGCACAGCATGCTGTTTTGTTCATCCAGATCCCGTCCTGAAACCACCACTCGAGTGCTTCGCCTTTTTCTTTCTCCTTGCTGGTCAAGAGGGGAAAAAGGCTTCATTTGCAGATCCCTACAACTAGCTCAGCAGTGGTGGTTGGTGCATAAACTTGGATTATTGTGATGTTGAAAGGTCTGCCTTGGATTCGTATTGACATCATTCTATCATTTTTGAGATTGTATCCCATTACAGCTTTTCCCACTCTTTTGTTGACTATGAAGGCTACTCCATTCCTTCTACGGGATTCTTGCCCACAGTAGTAGATATGATAATCATCTGAGCTGAATTCGCCCATTCCTGTCCATTTTAGTTCACTGATGCCCAGGATGTCAATGTTTATTCTTGCCATCTCCTGTTTGACCACTTCCAGCTTCCCAACGTTCATAGATCTTACATTCCAGGTTCCTATGCAATATTTTTCTTTGCAGCATCGGACTTTCCTTTCACTTCCAGGCACGTCCACAGCTGAGCGTCCTTTCGGCTTTGGCCCACACTGATCCCTTTTTAGGAACACCGATACTCACAAATAATCCTTGGCTTTCTTCTTCAGTTTTTGCTTTATGTGTTAAAATTTTGGCTCCCTCAACCTCCAGAAGCTTCAGGCGGCTGGAGATGAGATCCTGAAAGGGAAAAAAAGAAGTCCATTTTTAATTTAGAGGCAAAGGAGAACTGAAGAACGTGCTTCATCCCAATCACGGAGGGACGGGCTCCTTTTTACATGGGAGACCCCACCGTACCCTCCACATTGGTTGAGGGATTTCTCTATGTGTCCTTAAAAAAAGGCTGTCTGAAGCTGCTCGTCCTGTTTCTAAGGAAAGTTGCATTGTCCTAGGAATGTGAGATTATTACATCTTTCTCACACACAGGCACAGACACTTACCCTGACTCCCATCCAGGGCTGAATTTAGACCCTGCCCCCCAATGCACTTCAAGTTCGGGAGCTCCCTTGGGAACTAAAATAAAGCAAAAAGTAAGAGCAAAATGCGCGGCTTATATACCATCCCATAGCATTTCAAGCACCCTCTGGGCGGTTTACATGTTAATTATGCAGGCTACACATTGCTCTCCCAGTGAGCTGGATACTCATTTTACTGACCTCGGAAAGATGGAAGGCAGAGTCAACCTTGAGTCGGCTACCTGGGATTGAGCCTCAGGTCGTGAGCATAGTTTTGGCTACAATATATTAGTTTAACCACTACGAGACTCTTACACAGTAAATCACCAAATTTACAAACAATACAAATCAAAGTCCATTTTTACATGTCATTGGAGCTTATATGTCCATTATTGTTGTTGTTGTTTACTTGTTAAGTTGTGTCCAACTCTTTGGGACCCCATAGACCAGAGCACGCCAGGCCCTCCTCTCTTCCACTGCCTCTCGGAGTTGTGTCAATTTCATGTTGGTTGCTTCGCAGACACTGTCCCACCATCTCGTCCTTTGTTGTCCCCTTCTCTTCTTGCCTTCACACTTTCTCAACATCAGCGTCTTTTCCAGGGAGTCTTCTCTTCTCATCAGATGGCCAAAGTATTGGAGCCGCAGCTTCAGGATCTGTCCTTCCAGTGAACGCTCAGGATTGATTTCCTTCAGAATGGATAGGTTTGTTCTCCTAGCAGACCAGGGGACTCTCAAGAGCCTCCTCCAGCATCACAATTCAAAAGCATCAATTCTTCGGCGGTCGGCCTACCTTACGGTCCAGCTCTCACTTCCATATATCATGACTGGAAAAAGTAGATGTTTTTCTGGAACTCTCTGGCTTTCTCCATAATCCAGCACATATTGGATACTGCTGAAGCCTACCTTGTAGGATTTTGAGCATAACCTTGCTAGTGTGTGAAATGAGTGCAATTGTACAGTAGTTGGCACTGCCCTTCTTTGGGACTGGGATGTACACTGATCTCTTCCAATCCTCTGGCCACTGCTGAGTCTTCCAGACTTGCTGGCATATTGAGTATAGCACCTTGACAGCATCATTTTTTAAAGATTTTAATTTTTTTTGCTAGAATGCCATCATCTCCACTGACCTTGTTGTTAGCCATGCTTTCTAAGGCCCACTTGACTTCACTCTCCAGGATGTCTGGCTCAAGGTCAGCAACCACACTATCTGGCTTGTCCAGGACATCCAGATCTTTCTGGTTTAATTCCTCTGTGTATTCTTGCCACCTCTTCTTTATGTCTTCTGCTTCTGTAAGGTCCCTACTATTTTTGTCGTTTATCATGTCCACCTTTGCACAAAATGTTCCTTTAATATTTCCAATTTTCTTGAACAGATCTCTGGTTTTTTCTTTTCTATTATTTTCTTCTATATTTTTGCATTATTCATTTGAGAAGACCCTCTTGTCTCTACTTGCCATTCTTTGGAAGTCTGCATTCAATTTCCTGTAACTTTCCTTATCTCCCTTGCATTTTGTTTCCCTTCTCTCTCTGCTATTTGTAAGGCCTCGTTGAACAGCCACTTTGCTTTCTTGCATTTCCTTTTCTTTGGGATGCTTTTTGTTGCTGCCTCCTGTACAATGTTACGAGCCTCTATCCAAAGTTGTTCAGGCACTCTGTCCACCAAATCGAGTTCCTTAAATCTGTTCTTCACTTCCACTGTTTATTCATAAGGGATTTGGTTTAGATTATACCTGACTAACCCAGTGGTTTTTCCTACTTTCTTCAGTTTATGCTTGAGTAGTATTGCTATAAGAAGCTGATGATCAGAGCCACAATCAGCTCCAGGTCTTGTTTTTGCTCACTGCATAGAACATCTCCATCTTGGGCTGCAGAGAATATAATCAATCTGACTTTGGTACTGCCCACCTAGTGATGTCCATGTGTAGAGTCGCCTTTTCTGTTGTTGGAAATGAGTGTTTGTGATGACCAGCTTGTTCTCTTGACAAAAACTCTATTAGCCTTTGCCCTGCTTCATTTTGAACTCCAAGGCCAAATTTACCTGTTGTTCCTTTAATCTCGAGTCCCTACTTTATAATTCCAATCCTCTATAATGAGAACATCTTTCTTTGGTGTCAGTTCTAGAAGGTGTTGTAAGTCTTCATAGAATTGGTCAATTTCAGCCTCTTCAGCATTGGTGGGTGGTACATAAACTTGGATTACTGTCATGTTGAAAGGTCTGCCTTGGATTTGTATTGAAATCATTCTATCATTTTTGAGATTGTATCCCAGCTCAGCTTTCCCCACTCTTTTGTTGACTATGAGGGCTAATCCATTTCTTCTACGGGATTCTTGCCCACAATAGTAGATATGATAATCGTCTGAGTTTAATTCGCCCATTCCAGTTCATTTTAGTTCGTTGATGCCCAGGATGTCAATATTTATTCTTGCCATCTCCTGTTTGAGCACATTCAGCATACCAAGCTTCATAGATATTACATTCCAGGTTCCTATGCAGAAATTTTCTTTGCAGCATCGGACTTTCCTTTCACTTCCAGGCGCGTCCACAGCTGAGCGTCCTTTTGGCTTTGGCCCAACCACTTCATTTGTTCTGGAGCTACTTGTACTTGTCCTCCGCTGATTCTCGGTAGCATGTTGGACCCTTTCCGATCTGAGGGGCTCATCTTCCAGCGTCATATCTTTTAGCCTTTTGTTTCTGTTCATGGGGTTTTCTTGGGAAAGATACTCGTGTGGCTTGCCAGTTCCTGCTCCTATTTTACTTAATGGTTAGTTCAGGAACTTTTACAGATGATTGCATACAAAGCATGGTTTCACAAGATAAGTTTTTTATAACTGAAACTATTTTTAATATATATATAGACATCCAGCCTTCTGGCAGCTCCCCCCAGCAAGGCAGTTTCCCCCTTTGCCCCATTATTAATCCAAGACTGCCCCCAACATCCACTCATAAGGAAAATCTTGGTCTGGAAATCATGTCTTGCTGGGATCTGGAAATCTGTTCGAAGAGAGAATCATCAGAAAACGTTTTCAGGCAGGATCGACAACTATTTCACCCCCTGGTCCAGATTTCTTCCTCCTTACCAGGGGTGTGTGTGTGGGGGGAGAGACAATAAAGGGCACATGTCACACTCCCCAAATCCGGGCATTTCTTTAAATATATGCACATAAAAACCACTGTCAACAATCCAGAGGCATCACAAACAGGATCCCCATCCCCCTCAATGATTTTACAACCACTCTTGGTACCTTGTAGTCCTGGACAGCTTCTTCCAGAGGAACCACCTTGTGATCTCGGTGCTCCTTCGACTTGTCACACACCACGCAGATGGGGGCTTCGTCGTTCTTGCAGAAGAGCTTCAGGGGCTCCTGGTGTTTGTCACAGGCTCTCCCATTTCCCGTGGCTCTCATTTCCTCTTCAAGACGGAGCTTCTTGGTTAATTCTACAAAGTTTCCCAGCTGCCGATTGGAGACGAGGCTCCTCCGGACATTTGATCTGCATTGAGGGCAGGATGCCTCTTCCCCCTCCGACCCCTCCCAGCTCTGGGTTAGGCAGGCTCGGCAGAAGTTGTGCCCACATTCAATGGTGACCGGATCCTCGAAATAGTCCAGACAGATGGAGCAAGCGGCTTCCTCGCACAGATCCTGAAGGGTAGCAGACGCCATTTCTTGTCCCACCAGGAAGTTAACTGCTCAGTTTCACTTTTCCCGCTTCCAGAAAGTGGGTGTTTTCCCTCCCTTGAATCTCTCAGGACGGAATGGTCAGCATGTGAAGAAGAGGGAAGTAGGTGGAGCAACACACACACACACACACACACACACAGACTGTGTTTGTAAAGGGAAAGAAAGGGAATGAATCAAAAGGAAGGAAATGTGGTGCGGGAGGAGAGTTTGGTAGAGATCCCGGAGTGACAGAAAATGTACACGGTGGGTGTTGAAATTCTGGCTGTTCTACTCTGGGCACCTTCTGAGAAGGCAAGAAAGAACCTCTGGAAAAGACAATAAGGCGGGGAAAAGTGGAAGGCAGAAGGAAAAGCAGGAAGAACAAACAGGAGGTGGGAAAATTCCCTAAAGGTACCACAGGATTGGGTCTGTGGGAGCTGAGCAGGGCTGTTGAGGACAGGACATTTGGGAAATCGCTCCTTCAGAGGGTTGCCATTAAGTCATGGCTGACAAAACAAAACAGCATAAATGATCTGAGGATAACTCGGTAGTTTATCTATCTGGTTGCGGAGGCAGAGGCTGGCAGTTGGATTCCCTACTGTGCCCCCACTGCAAAGTAGAGCCAGCCTGTGTGGCCTTGGGCAAGCTGCGCAATTCCAGGATGCCCCCCAAAAGAAGGGAAGGGCAACCCACTTATCCTGTTTTCCCAAAAATAAGACCTTACCTGAAAATAAGCCCTGGTATGATTTTTCAGGATGCTCGTAATCTAAGCCCTACCCCCAAAATAAGCTCCAGTTAAGTGAAACCCCGCCGTCCACCCTTGTGCAGCAACCAGAAGAAGAAGATATGACTGTATTTGAATAAATGTAGAGGGTTGTACATGAAAAAAAAATCCCCTGAAAATAAGCCCTAATGCGTTTTTTGGAGCAGAAATTAATATAAGACCTTGCCTTATTTTCCAGGAAACACGGTATCAGTACAGTAGGACCACCGGTATCAATTCCAAGCCCCTCCCAACAGATGCTGGAAAATGTGAAACACTATTTTAATAGTGAATGCTTTACACAGCGTGGTCTCTGGTTCCCTCTAGTGACAAGCTCTGGGAATCTTGTAGTATTCTCATAGGCTTTCATGGCCAGTTGTTGTAGGTTTTTTGGGATGTTTGGCTGTCTTCTGGAGGTTTTTCTTCCTAATGTTCTGCCAGTTTCTGTGTCTGGCATCTTCAGAGGGCAGGAGTTAGAAGTCAGAATTTGTTACGTTCTCGCCTGTCCCTTGATTGTTTCACCAATCTCACACAAGCGACATGTTGTGCCCCTTCCACCAGCTGATTATGTCAACATCATTTATTATTAATAACAGAAGTCCAGGTAATGTGCAATTTTCAAAAGAACCAAATAGAAATAGTTTATTTTAACACGAAATGAAAGTTCAGTCAGTATTGTTAGGGTCCTCCTCAGCCAGACCCCTCACCGGAGTGAGAAAATACCAACACATTTCTCCAATGCTGGCCGCATTGCATTGGCTGCCCATTTGTTTCCGTGTCAACTTCAAAGTTTTAATGCTTACTTACAAGGCCCTAAACGGTTTAGGAACCTCGATATTTGACGGAACGCCTGCTTCCACCAAGGTCTACCCGGATCACCCGCGTAAGTCAGGAGGTGAGGCTGAGGAGCCTGACGCCGAGAGAGGCCCAGAAGGAGAAGACACAAAACCGGGCCTTCTCGGTGGTGGCTCCTCGCCTCTGGAACAATCTTCCTCCGGAGATTCGCGCGGCCCCTAGTTAGGAATGCCGAAAGAGCAAAAGAGAAGCACACTGTCTAAGGAAGATAAAAGAAAGAAGTGATGGAAACAGTATACTAAAGACAGAAGAGATAAAAAGAGGACAGAGTCCTTTGAAGAAAAATCCTATGATGAAAAACCTACAGTCCTAGAAAGTAAATTGAAAGTTGTTCTGAAAGAATTGAGAAGAAATAAAGCAGCAACAGTAGATAGGATACTGATAGAGATATTTCAAACCACAGAGACTGAATCAGTCAAAATCCTAACAAGAATATGCCAACAAATATGATAAAACAAAACAACATACATTTCTGGACACGTGCAGAGTGCATATATGTTGGTGAGTGCCAACTGCTGAAATCCGCATTAGGAAATGGTGCTTGAACTATGTCAAGTCCAGGGGCTCTGACCCCACAATGCAATGCACCCCCAGCAGAGCCCTGGCTGAGGAGAAAGGAGGGAAAAGTTGGGGGTTTCTCTACGTTCCATCTCCCCAACCCTCACCCCAATTTTTCCCTTCCCATCAGTGCATCTGCCATGTGCTTATGCCTCCACTGCTACCCTCCATTGCTGCTTCCTTCCTTGCTAGTAAAGTAGGCACACTTACACGTGAGTAAACAAAGACCTGTGTGGAATAAACATCTTCAGAGTGAACAGAAAGATCACTCAATTGAGAGATAAAATAGATCACACTGATAAGGACCTTTAAGCGACCAGACCAGACCGCTCCAAATTCCCTAGTCTAAACCCAAATTGCTGTCCGTCTGGACCGGCCAAGGGATGCTTTAATTTGAGATTTCCTGCTTTCAGCAGGTGGGAGCACTTGACGACCCTTGGGAGTCAATGCCAGCTTCACACTTCTACGACTGTAAAGGAAAGGGAGGATGTGGGGGCAGGACATAAATGCTCTTGGATGTATCAAGCTCAGATTTCACAGACTGAGCCTCCGTTTCTTGTGCAAATGAAGGAAGCACCTTATCTTCACACACACACCCGGCACTGAACACTCCCCGCCTTTCCTCAGTTCTTTTTTTTGGGGAGGGGTGCAGTTCAGTGACTTCCTAGGCCTTGCCCAACATTCCTGCCCTGATGCCCCTCAACAACATCACTGTTGGTATTCAGCTGTGAGATGTTCTTCCCTCTTGTGAGCTCCGATACAATATTTCTGGGACTGAGAGAAAGTGGGGGAAGGAGGTGACTTCAGGAACAGTTAAAGCCATTTTCCTGGTTTAGCCTTGGAAGTCAAAATAACAAGCACTTCTGGGTACGTGCAGAGTGCATACAAATCGGTGAGTGCCAACTGCGGAATTCCACAAGAGGAGCTGGCCCTTGCTCCGTCTCCTTGGGATTGAATATCCAGGAGTCCCCCCCACTCACCAGTTTCCCTCTCCTCTCTACCTCCCACTCCCTTCCCCTTTCCCAGGAGCTTGTTGTTCTTCCAGCTGGAAGAAGAGTCCCACTCCCAGTGTTTGGTTTTTCTCTTTCTTCTTTGTTCTTTGTGCATCAAAGATATTTTGGGTGTGGATTCAGGAATAGGAGTGAGAGCTGGGGATCCGAAGGTACCAATATGGTGCCCCCAGCCTATTGCTGCCAGCTCCCTTCCTTCCACTGTCCCTGGGCCAGATTGACATATCATCAAGAATGAGCCTCCAGGGCTGCCAGCCTGGGATTTTCGTGGATCCGTTTGATGTCAGTTCTCTCCTTCCTTTCTTCTGGGAAACTAAAGTCAAATCAAGCCATTATCATTTATATAAGAAATCAAAATTATATGAAGGATTCACCATCTCGCAAGAACTAGACAAAATCAAACCTTTGTACTCCGAGATCATTTTGGGATGATCCCATCCTATCACTAGAATGCCATCACCTCCACTGGCCTTGTTTTTAGCCATGCTTTCTAAGGCCCACTTGACTTCACACTCCAGGATGTCTGGCTCAAGGTCAGCAGCCATACTATCTGGGTTGTCTGGGTGCTGCATGTGTTGTTCTCAAGCTAACAGCATATGGGCCAACGTTTGACAAATTATCAGCTTGCATACAACATCAAAAAATCACATTGTGCAAAAGCATGCCAAGTCGAGTATCCCTTATCAAAAATACATGTTTTAAAATTTCTATAAATTATCTGGCTTGTTTTACTTTAATATTTGTTTCCATTTAATGGTTATTTTTCAATAAAAAGTGTTTGTATCATTGAAAGTTCTGTTATGCTTTGAAGACAAAAGGTGATGATTAATTCAGACAACTGTATGAGTTGTTTTTTCTAAACTAAAACATCAGTATTCAGATTTAATTGCAGTGTTACACCTACTGTAGGTGTTACCCCATGATACAAACTTTCCAAGGGGGAGGTCTGTGGTGGACAGCCCACACATCACTCCTGTCAGTCATTTTAGAGCTCTAGTGTGGGAGCCTATGACAGGACAGGAGGGGCGGATTCAAGAGAACTGGGGGAGACAGTCAGTTAGGGAGAAGATTGTGAAGTGTTTAGACAAGAGATTGGAAAGTTGGTGTGTTAGAGAATATAAGAGTTAAAAGTAATAAGAAATACATAAACAAAATATATTGAGACCTTGATTAAGTGAATGAATACAAGCAAGCTTATATGTAATCAAATTCACGTTTATTGAATGAATAATAAAAGAACATCAGTGATTTTGCTTCTGTGATTTACTTATCAAATCATAAATAAACCTTGTTATATTTGGTAGCAACAGTCTGATATTCTTATTTGGTACAGTGAGGGTAATATCCTCTGGTGGCAGTGTAAAAGGGTCAAAAGAAGTTGTGCTTGAAGGTGAACCTGTGTGAGTGGGAAAACAAACAGAGGACACCGGGGGTGCACAACAGAGACACTCTTGACGAAGTAGTTGTTCAATTTCCCTCCAAGATCAGCTTGAATGACTTAAGGGGAGATTGTGAGGGGTGCTACTCCATACACACAAAAGAAGGGGAGAAGGGTCTCCCCAGAGAAAGAGGCTCCAGAGAAGGTGTAGAGATGCGATCCTGTGATAGCATCATGAAAGGACACCTGGGCCCCTTCAAAGTTCAGGGACACCCAGATCCTCCTCAGCTTCTCACTCAAAGGAAGACAAATTTCATCAGAAAGGTCGGAGGCCCTGTAGCCACCTCCCCACCTCCCCACAGCCCAGATCCCTTCTTCAGTTCTCAAATCAACATAGTCTTTCCTCCGTACGGACTTCCTGGCCACCCCCACAGCCCAAAATCTCTCACTTCCCACAGTGACTTCCCAGTAATGTCTGCCTGTGGCGAATCCCTCACATCCCAACACATAAAGTGCACTGCTGAATCTCTCAGGATTGTCAGGCAAATCTTGCCGTCTGCCTTCATATCTCACACT